GTTTGTCACACTCTTGTGAACTGCTATTTCCGGGGTGCCTTGATAGTCGAAGCAGACTTTGGGCAGTTGAGGCTAGAGAGGTGAGCAGAGTAAGCCTGATTCCCTGTATGGACTTCTCTGTTGAGCTGGAGGTCAGGTTTTTTACTCAGCAGATCATACCGAGCAGAGCTGTGCTGGTCTAAATGTGAGGCATCGTGGTGAAATCAGGCACTTGTCAAATTAATGTATTTGAAGAGACAGGCATTTTTCCGCCAGTTCAACAATTGTCATTGAATGTTTGTGTGTGGCTCAACCCCTTTTACCTTTACCTTTATGTCCATGGAAGCTGACCTGACCAAACGCCTTTTTTTCATTTTGGCAAAAAAAATGTTTTGTTGCTTAATCGAGAAAGCCTGATCAGTAACCTTACTTGTGTAAAAAAATCAAAGTGAAAATGTGACTAGTTTTCGTATAAATTAAAATTAAAATTTCAGAATCACTCTATTTTTAAATTGTTACACCGACAAAAAACTTCTTTTTCTCAAAACTACTATGAAGGAAAAAAAAAGTTGTTTTGTCAGTTTACTGTAGCAGTAGCGGATCAGTCCTACCGGAAAATTACCCATTTTGTGTCTTTAATCGACGTTTTTCAGTCAAATTCACACACAAATGTGTTTTACATGGACTTAAAAGTAAAAGGTGTTGTCCCTCACAAAAAAATGAGGGACGTGTGTGTCCGTGGGAGAGGTCTTGCCGCGCGTCCTGAAGAGAGAGAGAGGTCAGAAGACTGAATGTCCAGGAGTGGTCACTGGTCACAGAGATGTTGGTGGGCGGTACTGACTCATTATTGTGGAGTCTCGCTGTCTTATAACTGTCTACAAAAGTACATGTTTGGTTCTTGTGATAGTTCTTTTTTAGAAATGTTACATGCTCTCGTGGGAACACTGGAGTCCCCTTGCACAATTAGAATTTCCTGAAGGATTTGAATCTCTCTAAGCACACATTTACTGGTGATGTACGTCCACATTTCACCATTAACCTGTCCCTGCGGTTTTATGCAAAAAAAAATCTGAAATTATGCAAATTGAGCCCAAAAATGTTAAATTATGCGATTCTGTTAATTTTAACAAAGAATGATAAAGGAAAATGAGCAGAAAATATGCAAAAACTGATCAAATTTTGCTAAATTATGCGGGGTGCATAAGACCCGGGGGGACAGATTAATTGTGACTGACAGTTTAGGATTTTTTATCCTAGAGTGATGATAATTAATCGCCTCAGTTTATTTTTCTTTTTATTTGAGATGTATATTATTATAGAATTATACACGTATAGAGGAATATATATGTATACTGCCAGTGTCACACTTTATTTCTCGTCTTCAGATTTGATCTGCTTAGAGATACCTGTCTAGGCTGAGTTGCTGGATAGGTTTTGTCCCTTCATATTGTTATTGAAATGAGAGTGATATTGATGAGCCAACTCTGGTGATAGAACTGAAATCCAACAAAAGAGACCAAATGTTGTGGTAGTGTTAAAATAATCATGGACGTTTGTACTTGTGATGAGAATGTTAATGTTGTGGTAGTGTTAAAATAATCATGGACGTTTGTGCTTGTGATGAGAATGTTAATGTTGTGGTAGTGTTAAAATAATCATGGACGTTTGTGCTTGTGATGAGAATATTGTTATAGTGGGCGTGTCAGAGTTTGAGCTCTGGTGGTTTCTGTGTACTGGAGACGTTTGGGTTCTAAATATAGTCTGTCGCCACCAAGCCAGGAACGAGATTGAGGAAGAAAACTGTTTCCTGTGTGTGTGTGTGTG